TGGCATCAGAAAGGTACACACTTCAAAGCAAACCGATGCCAGATTGTGCAGTTTATTCCCGCAATTTAAGCTCGAAAAATATCTGTGAACGTCGTTATTCTCGACACTTTGGCAACGTGTCGCGAACACGGACCTTGAGGCCTCGTTAAAGCCGCCTGGTCAATTGCTTTTGTGAGCACCTTAAATTGGCCGTGTTTAGTCTCGTCGCGCAAACGTCAGAAATAACGCTATAACGCTACACCGAGGAGCATCCTGATGTCTTTTTGATCCGTCATGTCGCTCCCTTCTCGACCTCACCCAGAAAGTGAAAGTGGCATTCATAAATTAGCCGTGTACGGCTATGCAAATTTGTTCACCAAACTTATTGTTAGCATTTTCATAGGCGTCCAATTCTTACTGAGCTTGAGATGAGCTCATCTTTCTCACGCGTATATATAGATGCGGTCTTGACGCGGTGTGCTTTGCGATATATCGATTAATCTGCTATTTAAACCTATGAAAAATGATTGATGAACTGGGCGTTCTCAACGATCACCTTCATAATCACTGCTTTATCACAGCTTAAAATGGGGAAATATCAATAATCGATTATTCACGTCTCGCCACTGCTTTACGTAATGCAATATTCTAAATTTTGACGAGATATCACACGTACACAAATTTTATTTCAAAAAAAATTTTTTGACGCATGATAGGAAAACAGGTCACCCGGTATGAGCACTAACGTTTTGCATACATACTAACCTTAAATTGTACGTGCCTATACCACATTGTTAGGAAAGAGCCAACTTCTATATTGGCGGAAATCGAATCTGAGAGTGGTGGTAACTATCAAATAATTCGGTTTGCGCCATTTTAAGTAGGTATACCTGTCTAAGTATGGGCATTAATGTATTTACTACTCATAAGCTACACTGCACATCGCGTAATTGAAACGCCAAGAGATGGAATCACTGTAAAATGAACAACTCAGAAACTTCATTAGCCTCTATGAATCCTTTGTTTTTTGCGTACATGGGAGCAAAAGAAGCCATATAGCAATTGCTCCAGAATTAAAAAGAACCACTCCTCTTTTTTCAAAGGAGGAGTTAAGAGTTTTTTATGTAAAAAAAAAAAAAAAAAAAAAAAAAAAGTTTTTTTGCTATGAATAGGAACATTGTGCAAGACAAATAAAATCAATCTTACATGCCTATACCTCGTTCTTAGGTAAAGAGTTGGATACAGTGCTTCCAACTCATTCACGTTAATGATGGCTCACTTCCCTGTCTTTTGGTGCGATTTACTTTGATTCTTGAGTCTAGACGCGACAATAAAATTTCAATGCCACTTTTTGTCTTAAAATTGATCTCGTGATCATGTGAAACGTAATGGTTTCGGGTACTTATTGATACTAAAAATCGAGGCTGTTAATTTATCAATTAAGAGCACAAAATCACAATCGCATTTTGTGGTAAACATTATGTGCACACGCGGTATTCGCCGCAAATTGATCAAGATCTAATCTACGCGCACAAAGAACTTTCCAGACGGACCAAAAATTCGAAAAAACGTGTACGAAATTTCTTATGATAGGACAAAATTTAGACTATGTATGCATGAGTGATTAAATGTCGCGAGATGTCAAAAATCAATCGAGTTGAAAAACACTATAAAGACACACTTAAACATTATAAAGCCATTGAACCTGCTTGCAGTTTTGAGAGCTTTGAAAAACCACCATCAGAAGTCGCGTGATTCATATACCTACATGCGGAATATTTGGAACCTGACTAATTGCAGATGGATTAAAATGCTATTCTTCCGCTAGATTTACTGCCTCCAGAAATTCACCTGAAATTCGTTTTTCCGATTATCTTCACATTAAACAATGTTTCCTCTAATCCCTCCCTTCCTTAATAACTGATTTAGTTCTTGTACGTGACAGTTTTGATCACGCAGTCTTATTGACACGGCAAATTGTTTGATGCGAAGCACTTAGCATCTACAAATATTTTTACAAGGAGCAATTTAGTTATGCCATCATTTATTAGAAAAAAAGAACATTTTTTAGTGCTGCCTTCGTGTAATCTCTGTCCTGAGTTATATCAAGTTTGATAATGAGCCAGGCATTTGATTATATGTCTGAATAAAATATGATGAGATCCGTCCTGACGTTATGTTACTGCTGGATTGTTCCATGGTATACAGTTTTAAAACAAGTTGGAATATTTTTAATATTTTGTTAGTTTCACAACTTTTCGCGTCCGTTAGTTTTTGGAGGGAGAGAACAGAAGCGCTTTTCTCCTCGTAAAGATAAGGAGCCTGGAGAGCCGTCTGCTTATTGGTTAACCTCTCTCGTTCTCTCGGGCTCCTTCCTCTCGCCAACTTGAGGGTCAGCTTGGGATGAAAGCACGGATTGCGATGCGCTAGTTGAGTTTCCGACACCAATCCAGCTAATGATCTCTTCCTTTTCATCAAAGTGTCTTTATTTTTTGTGATCAAGGACGAGTCCCTTCTTTTAGAAATGTCATGAAAAATTCCTCGATATTACGTAATTAATATAATATTTGTTTTTCTCTCCTTCCACTGAAACGTCTATCAGTCTGATAAAGAGGGAATAATGCCAAATTAAGTAATAGAGCATGTGATTCCGCAGCTTATCCGTAGATACAGATCTATTCGTATCAGCAAATACCAATGTTTTCAAATCGTACTGGAAAACTAGTTTAAGATAAAATCGTTCCTAACGTAACCAATATATTATCCTGAGCAATGACAACAGCGAAGCCGACGCCACCTCTCTATAGTGCTTTCCTATAATGCAAATTCATCTTTAATTGGTCGATTACATAAATTTTTCTTCTTCTTTTTTTCCACTCAGAGCCTGCAACGGTAATTGATTCACTGTAATTAGTCCTCAATGCGCTTTGGGGCATTGTAATTAGCCGCTCAATAACGCTCCGCGATGTAACGCCCCTTTAGAAGTTATTGCTCATTCTCGAAGTAAAAAAGAAAGGAAGAATGAAAAATTATGGAGGTCCGGCGACGAGTCGTAAATCTACCGGTTATGCACCCGCACTCAATGTTTGATCGGCCACTGTTTGTCCACGCGGTCATAATTTCTCACGAGTCCGCGGCTCTTTTCGCTGTCATCGAAGCTATAACTTCCGTCTACCCCCAGGTATGAGCGTGAGTGTGTATTCAACGGTTTACCTCATGTTTGAACAAATAATTGGACGTATTTCTGCCCAACGGAACTATGTGCATTAAGACATGAGCCCTGAGACTCCTAAGAATATGTGCATAACAGGGCTCACGTTAAACGCACATAATTCCGTTAGATAGAAATACGTCCAATTGGCGTAGCCTGTGTAGGAGTCGGTCGAAATTTAGGCGATTTTCCAAGGTGCAGGAAAGAAGGAAGAGCTGAGGACTTTACTTGCCCGGAGGGGGCAAAGGTATGACTGGGGTAATAAATCTGCTCTCATACTGTGTCTCAAAATCTAGGCGTGGATGCAAATAATTATTAGAATAATTTTATTAATATAACTTTGCCATTCAAGCAAAGAAACAGACCAATACACTGAAAGCAGAGGCGGATCCAGCAATTTGGCAACACCGGATTTCCTCTATTTAAACTTATGCTAAATAATCGATTCTTGTCGGAGCATCTGGCCCCTCCAAGAATCGATATATTTCCATAGATTTAAATGGAGGAAATCAGGTGTTGCCAAATTGCTGGATTCACCAATGACTGAAAGAAAAACTCCGATCGTGGGAGCCGTACCTACGGGCTATATGGACATACCGTCCGCGTTTCGAGCTTATAGGCCGTAAGTTCCGGGCGTAGCACCCGGAACAGTTGAGGCTACGGCTCGAGCACCCAGAACTTCCGGCCTATAGGCCAAGAATGGACTATATAGTAGGTAACTTTATTTTCAGTGTAGAAATCAGATTACGAGGACTTGAGCTCGCGAATTGGTCTGTCAATCAGCAACTGGCATGTAGAGATTTAAACCAAGTTTATTTGAATTAAATTTAAGATTAATGCAAATATTGACCATTCTGAAGTACAATTCACTCTATTTCATTCAGAGGGGTTATCAAAGTTGATCAATTATGATTTACAATCATTACAGAAAACTATAATTCGTTTTAGCGGAAGATCGAGCATGGAGACATAAAGAGTGTCTTTAGCTGAGCGTCAATATGGACGACATGTTAGGGGACATTTATCGCACAATAACGCTCATTGCAGAGAGACGGGCGCGGTATCATTGGTTACTGGTAGGCATAGATATAACACCAGGAAATCGCTAAAAATTACATAGCAATCGAAACCGAAAGTACTGTCACCAACACTGCCGTGTTAAGGAAAAATGCCGTATGAACCATTAGGCGTTGCCAAATTTCCTTCGGTAAATCACGATTTTCCGGGAAAGTTTATGAACATTTTTCTTCCAATTTTTCAGATAATTTTGTTCGCAATTTTACCTAAGGTTCTTGAAAATTTCTCGGAAAAACATTCATAACTTTTCTACAAAATCAACATTTTATCGAAGGAAATTTGGCAACTGTACTTAGCGATATATCGATTGATCCGTCATTTCAACCAAGGTAAAAAGGATCGATAAACAGGATGTTCGCATCGAACAACTCAATAATCGATCATTTACCATAGCTTCAAATGGGGAAATATTGATAGTAATCGATCATTCACGCCTCACCATAGAGTCATTAAATGGGCTGATAATGGCAAAACTTGAATAGGATGCATGTCTTCAAGTATTTAAATATTTTAAAGATGCAATACAGTGTGTTTCTATAGCATCAAAATTTTGCCGTAAAAATGCAGGGAAGCATGTATTTTTAACACACAATTGTCTTTAATTATCATGTATGTATGTGTTAAAAACTTGAGAAAAATTCCAGGCTCTTTATACAATCTCACAGTGGGTTTGAAAAAACCAACTGCTGTCCAAGGCAAGAGAGATATAACGATGATAAGAATATATTCTTACGTTTTTTGCATCAAATGCTTCGGAAATAACAGGACGATATCCGACTGATTTTAAACGTACCTGCAAAAAAAAGAAGAAAATTAATAAACTTACTACGGAATGCACGTGAAGGGATCATGTTTCTGTTTTATTAGGGAAGGAAAAAAGGTTTCTTAAAAAATGGAAATTTTCATGAGACATGCAAAGAAATGGCATGTTCCCTGGAGCAAAGTAAGAAAAACCAGCGATACCTATATCAGTAAGTACATACATGATGCCATCAGGTTTATGAGAGCAATCTATTCAAAAGTGTTGGTTCGAAGTCCGTTTTTGCAGGCGTTAAAAAAATAAACATTCCGAGTTTGATAACAAAGCCCAGCCGGACCAAGATGACGTTGTCAATTTGCACCATTAAGTCAAACAATATCATTCTCGCTTCTCATATGTGCGATAGGGAATGAAGGCACCGGTGCTGAGTTACATGTTATTTTCATCGACATCACTATGTTAATTGTAGAAACTACTAGGGGGTCCTGCCCCCTGCCCGCCACGCGGCCCAACCCCCGGGAGGGCGCCTCGCGCCCTAAGCCCGCTTCGCGGCCCGGGCCCATGCATATGTGTAGGCACGAATGTTCTTCCATTTTAATACACTATTTTGTGTTCGAGCTGCATCGATTTCAACATTTTTGACGTAACACTCAGATTTGTAAATGATGAGGAATAGCTGGATGTACATAATGTCACAGTCCACTTACTGGAGAAATTTCCATTTATTATGTTATTTTTAAATACTTAATTTAAAAAAAAAAATCGGATTTCGACCGTTAAGAGTTAATAATATTTAGTCCGTCCCGACGCGACGCAGCGCCTGCCTTCTCACTTTGTATCTGCTGTTTATCTGCTGTTAATATTAATAGAAATTCAGCAATTAAGTAAATTGACCAATGCCACAAATCGAAGCCGGAAGAATGTAGGAAAAATTGAGTTAAACCTTATACCTTAGACCTTGAACCTTGGCCCCTGAGCGATGCACCGTTCCTCAACTCTTCGAATGAGGAGCCCTTCACGAGCTTTTCCATTGTTTTATTGTGTATTCGAGTCACTCAGGTAGAATCTCGCACCGTGACGTTTCTAGCGGAAACGACATATCTCTCACGCTATTAACATTGGACTTTAGTGACATGAGCTTTAAAAGCTCTACAACATTAAAAGTTCGAGGTTTCATAATTTTTTGCACATCTACATCTACTACAGATGACATACACGTAAAGATCATCCTTATCGGTCCGGCAGTTCGTCAGAAATAGTGCTTTCAAGATTTTGCTTGTAGCTGTATAATATAGATAATGTACATTGAGGTTTTGTTTGAAGAAAATTTAGAGAGGAAATTTAAAAATTGTTTTCATCGTTTACTCACTAACACGCTCACATTTGAAACTAATAAATCGAAATTAGAGGGAAGGGCACAATTAAAGTCTAAAGACTTAATGGAAAATACTCACAAAACTACACTTGGTTTTTGATCTTTGGTTGCGGAGAAAATAGCCTTCAAGTCGAATCACAAATTGTTTTTATCTACGCTAAAGACAAATTTTAATTTAAAGAAATTCGCCTTTGATTTGAAGATATTTTCTGGGCATAAAACAATTTTTAAGTCGAATAATTTTTTTTTTTTTTACTCAAGGAAAAATTCACACGAGTGAAAACAATTTCTGTGGATTAGAAAAAAAAGTAATATTATTTGACTCGAGAGAAATTTTTTTACGTCGACTAAAGAAAAAAATTTTAACGCAGGAAAAAATTTACCTAAATTCGAAAAAAATTTTGAGTCAAAGACACATTTTTCTTCTACGCAAAACATGCTTTTCCCCCATTTTCCGGTGTAATTGTGTTGATCGTAGCATTAATTTGTTAATATGATTGACCCCAACACAATTATCCCTATGATGCATAGGGTAAACAATTCAATTATTTTTCATGAATAAAATTGGCAACACTTCTATTACGGCTGCTTCTTGATAAGAGAAAGTTAGTGAACTGGTCTCGGCGTATGATGCACAAAAAAACTTGCATTGTATCCACCGTATCTTGGAATCAGGTGAATAGTCTTGCCAAAAAAAAGAGAGGATGTGTTCAGCGATGAGCTAATGAGCGGAAAAGCGATCGTGAGCGCGTTTTTTATCTCTGAATATTCATTTTTCACGTTTGATTCGAGGCGTCGCGTTGGCTCGATTTAAAATAGGAGTGGCGCAAATAAGTTTTCTGATGAAAGATAAACCATTAAAACTAGATATACATGCGACTATAACAAGAGTCATAAGCTAACGTCATACACGGAAAAAACGAGTTTAGGGTTGGGACCTACATGTTAGTGCTGGGCACTAACGAGGGTTAGATCAAATGGAGCCAGCAAGTCAGAGGAGTGCTGGGCACTAAACAGCTCGAGGCTGGGTCACTAAGGAAGAAGTAGTGTCAAGCCCTAAAGTGACTTTGGAGCGAGCGTAAAATATGAAACGTCTCCGCCTGGGATCGAACTCGGGTTGCGCCGGTGGAAGGCCAGCGCGTTACCACCAGGCTATCGTGACTCCGACGTCTCGAGGGTGAATTTACACCTGTTAAGCGCAACTACGTCTCGCGGCATCTGATTAGCACTACTCATGTTCAGTGCCCACCTGCACTGCCTTCCGGTGTTGAGCTGTACAGCGCTTAGACGCCAGCCCTCAACTACTCCCCACTAAACGGCCAGTAGTGCTCAACACTAGTCTTGTTTTTTCCGTGTATTTTAATTAAATCTTACAATTAGAATATTCTGGAGTGAGCACTCGCTTCAGTAAAAAAAGAAAGAAAAGTAGTTAAGAAAATGAAAACATAATAATGAGCAAGGAAAGGCTATGATGATCTCTCCAAACAAAAAAAAAGCGGAGAAGAGGGTGTTAAACTTTTCAAGGCAAAGCAAATAATCATAGAGAAGAAAAAAAGATGTAGACTTTACAAAAAAATCCATGCGCGTGTGCTGCAAACCGTATGTCTAGCGCTTTTTTCATGTTCCTATGACACAAGGAAAAAATAGACAATTTTGCGGAAATTTCCCCATGCTCATACCCAATTTGATGAGAATAAAACTTCATCTCAAGCATTCAGAGTGGCCAAAACATATCCCTTAACAAGGAATTAGTGAAACAAGCTCAGAGAAAACTGCTGTATAATGGTGGATCAGGTCATTTTTTACCTAAAATTTTGAGATAAGTGTTATTGCCCCGACTCAAGACTAAAAATGCACACTTTTTAAGCATTGTTAATGTCACGCGGAATCTTAGAGAGGAATGCTATAAAGCAACCTATATGTATGTATCTTAGAGGGGAGGGACGAATAAGATACAAAAAAAACTACTTACACTGGGCTCTGTTTCTGGTAATGTGCGGTATGAATTTTGAGTAGACTTAATTGGAATCGTCACATTTCTTTTAATGGTCTAACACTTTCTTTTCAAATTTGGAGCAAATATCTCAGCACTCTTAACATTCTCAATTCAGAGCAAAAATTAGCGTACATTGAACAGGTTTTATAAGACAATGCCTTGACGTCATCAAGGCATGACCTACATTTTGTCTGTATTCAAGATATTTGGCATAATTCTCTCATTTTTATTTTTAACATATGAACGAGTTTTTAAGGCTGAGGTAGAGTATATTTTAATGGGAATATATTTATTTATATTAGAATATATTTTATATTTTAATGGGGATTAGTGAGAGTTTGGTGACATAATGCAGATACTATTAAGACAATGCCGGTATGAAAATTTCAGAAACAGACAGAACTTAACTTCAGCTGGACCGAGAGTGAGAAGTTCACATGGAGCATGTCCCATATCGATCGAAGTTATTAGATTCAGTGAACTGAAACTTCGATTCGTCAAACTGAAGTTCAGCTCTGTCAACTGAGGCGGCCGGACTCCTTGAATGAAGGCTTACAATTGTTTTTTTGACAGCGAAACGCCTACAGATTGATTCAGTTCGTAAAATCGAGGAATTTTTTCATCCCAGGCGTGCAAAGTGCACAAAAAGTATTACGGTTATTTGTAACTGGAGCATTTAAAATATTTATAACCGTTTTTAGTTAAACTGAAGACGAGCAAGAAAGTATCGGCCTGGGAGTATATTAAACCCATGATAATAATAAAACTTGCGTAACCTTTATCAGCGACACAATATGGGAGCAGTTGTACTAAATAGTGATCGAGCTTTGAACCCAAGCTTGAACTTTTTTTGTCCATCGCCACCAATGTTTACAACGCCTGATGATAGTGTATTTGAGGAAACGCAAAATGTAACATTGTGGACCATCCGCACATGTTTTTCAGCTGTCTTAAAAGTAACAAGATAAACTGAGAAGAATACAAACAATCGAACAATGATACCATTTAGCCCATTTCTTTTTATTTTACAACCGAGACTGAGGCATATTTTTATCGTGTAAGTTACACCCCCCACTTTCACAAAATCTACGTTACGCACTTGTATGAAGGGGCATCCAGAAATAGGACATACGGCAAAAGCTTTCATTTTTCAAGATGGACAAAATGCTGTGCAGCTCTAACAGAGAGAAATGCAGTGCATAAAATAAATTTAGATTTGTTCAATACAATTCGCAAATCCGTGGATACTATCATTTGTGTCTTTTTAAGTCAGCCGTTTGTGTTAATAAATTAATCGTAGGTGTGGTGGGGATAATGCCTCATCTGGTTCTGGTTGTAAATGTAATTGATTTTTATGCAAGTATGAGAACATTAAACTCATTTGCTCGAAGTTATTTTTGGGCGATAGGTGCCAAAACCACTTGAAAGGCAATATTATTCAAATATAGTGTCTTTTCAGAGGTAAAACTTGAAAATGCAAGTCATAGTTCCCCCCGAAATGACTCTCCATCATAGAATGAGAGAGTGCTGGCTCTTGATCGTGAAACTACGGTGATTATATTGCAGAGAAAAACCGAAAAAAAGGAAGACAAAAGATAGTAAAAAGTCGATTAAATCCGTTCATCGGCAATTTAACTTTGATATCTAGTAAATATCGTTTCA